TGCATCCTAGTCCCAATCCATCTTGTTGTCATTTGCATACAGTGGTCTTGGGGGTTGAGTTGAGCTGCACTGAGAGCAAGCCAGCCACCAAGCTTCAATTGCACTAAGGCAGTGTCACCAGTAGAAGTCTGGCCAGCTTGCATGAGCTTTACAACTCAAGGAAGTAGAACTCCTGAGTCACCTCCACATGAAAATGATTTTACAGTAACGCTGTCAGCCTTCTCTTCCCATCACTGCAAACTTGTGGTAACACAGCTTCCCCACAGGGGGTTTACTCACCATGGGATTTTAAACATGAAGCATTTCAAAACTGAAATTAGAAAGAGTTTAGTTTGGGATTAACTCAATTTTTATTAACACTTTGAGTGTTATTCCACCTTTCATGTTTGTTAGTTTAAATACTAGACTCTCAATCATCTGACTTTGAATTGAAAATATTGTTTTTCGTTAATCATTGAACCTAATAGCAGGGAAAATGAAGCGCTCATTTATACTTTCAAGATCTTACATGGGATTAGGCAACTAAAAGAACAAAGTTTTGCATAGTTATTTTGATAAAACTAATTTGTTCATATGACCCAAGGATTAACTGCTATCATTCCCTACCAAACCCATCACTCCCCTAAATTTACCAGCCAGCCCTGTTTAAGTTTCCTCTATAGCATTTATCCCCATCTAATATATCATGTAATGTATCATATAAATGTATCTATTTTGTTTATAGTTTCTCTCCTCCTAGAATATATACTCCACAAAGGCAGGGATTTTGGTCTGTTTTATTCATGCTGTATCCCTAGGACTTGGCATATAAGAGTAGTATTGGAACAAGAGCACACAAAAATATTTGTTGAATGAGTGAATGAATGAACGAAGTATTTCCTCAAATAGGATAAGACTAAAACTTTTGAAACATGAACAGGTTGGATATATGGAAATTAATTTCCAAGACTGTTCATCAGGAGCTGTCAGTACTTTCTAAAGAACACCACGTGAGTGCACGTAAGAGGCAGGAGTAAGAAGAGGAGGAGGAGCAGCTCTAGTGTAACAGTAGTAGTAATGAACACTTACGTAGTGCTTATGTGCCAGGCCCTGTCCTAAGCACTTTGCCTATATCAACTCATTTAAGCCTCAAGTGACTCACTGGAGTAGGGGCGTCATCATGTCTAAGATGCATGCTTTCCCCATTTTACCATCTCTGAAATATGAATGTGTTTTTTACTAGATGGCATCTTAGATTCATTGATATGTGGTGTTATTCTTCTCATTGTATTGATGAGGAAACTGAGATCCAAACAATTAAGTAATTTGCCTAAGTTCACTCGGCTATTAAGCCAGGTTCTAAACTCAAGCAATCTGGCTCTGAAGTCCGTGCCCTTAACGACCGGGTAGTACTGCCTGTATTTGTACCTCCAGAGTGTGTATCGAGTTGTATATTGACTTCAAAACTACTGTGAGCTTTTCCGTGGTCCTGATATAACTATAAAACTTTACTGAGAAACATATAGAGACTTGAATAAATGGATAGACATATTTTATATTTGGATAGAAACACTGCTGGTTAACGATGACAGTTCTCTTTAAATTAATCTATACATTTACTTTGAGCCCAAAGAAAATAGCAATATGATTTTTATAGCAAGATAGTTGTTCTTTTAAGCCCAAACTTGGCCCAAGTATGAATAGAAGAGTTGAGGCAGAACTAACAGGAGTTCCCCACTGCTGAGACATCTGAACATTAAGCTTATTTCTCTGAGAACCAGCCTGGATTGATATTCTTTCTGATGTAGACAACAGTAAGACAATGTCTTATTCTGTACTAAGTGAAAGCCCGGATTTTTCTTTTTGCTTATAACCTAGCCCCATACCGCAAAATCGACCAGAGAATTTCTGTGGATCCAGTCACCTCTGAACACGAACTAACATGTCAGGCTGAGGGTTACCCCGAGGCTGAAGTCATCTGGACAAGCAGTGACCACCGAGTCCTGAGTGGCAAAACCACCATCACCAATTCCAAGAGGGAGGAGAAGCTTTTCAATGTCACCAGCACAGTGAGACTCAACACAACAGCTAACGAGATTTTCTACTGCACTTTTCGGAGATCAGGTCTTGAGGAAAACAGTACAGCTGAGTTGGTCATCCCAGGTAATATTCTGAATGCCTTATTAAAATGTGCCTAGTGTTGTCCCCTGGCGCCTAGCATGATGCCTGCTTATCATAGGCATTCATTGTTCACTGAATAAATGAATGAATGAATAACACTATATTTAGAAAATGCATCTTGCTTCCTCACCTCCATTCATCCAAGTCATATTGCTATTTAATAAACATTCAGCAGATATTTAGAATATGCTCTATGTGCCAGGCATTCGGGACTCACAGAAGAATAAGACGCTGTTCACACTCTCCAGGAAACAGACAAGAAAACAGACAATCTTGTTCCATGTAGGAAATGCTTTTGTGGCTGGGGGATCTGGGGGAGCACCTGAGAGGAAGAGTCAACTCAGGCTGTGATTCGGGAGTCCAAATCTGAGCATATCAGAGCTGCTCCTTTCTTTCTGGGGTTTCTGTGACAGAAAGCAAATGGAATGTACTTTTCTATCTTATTCCTCATGGGAGAGATCTTTCCTCCCCATCTGTGAAAGTCTATGACCTTTCAACTCAAGGCAGTCTGCTCAGTGCACAGGAACATAAGGCTGTGTGTCCCTGAGCAAGCTACTTGACTTCTGCATGCTCCACTTTCCCTATATGGTTATAACATATCAGGCAAGGTTATCATAGGGATAAATGAGCTACGGTGTTTGAAAATGATTTGAGACTCTTGCCTGTACTGATTCAACTATTTTTTGTCTCACTACCCTACAGTAGTGGGTAAGGCGGGGTACAGAGTCTGATGAGAGGCTCAGACCTTTAGAGAAAGTGAGGTGGGAGAGCATGATGTTTAATGTAAACCCAGAGGTTTCCTGAGAAGCACTTCTCTCCCCACCCCCCACTAGATGTTGACAGTAAAGCTTTAGGTACTTCAGAGAAAACAACTAAAAAATGGAGTAGAGGGTTGAGCTGGGTGGCATAGTGGTTAAATTCACGTGCTCCACTTTGGTGGCCTGGGGTTTGTGAGTTCAGATCCCAGGCACGGACTTACACACCAATCATCAAGCCATGCTGTAGCAGTGACCCACATACAAAATAGAGGAAGATTGGCACAGATGTTAGCTCAGGGCCAATCTTCCTCACCAAAATATATATATATATATGTATGTATATATACATATATATATATGGAGTAGACAAGTCAAACAATAGGAAAAGGCAATCCAGGATGGTCCTATGAATAAAAAGAGCAAAAAAGTTTGAGAAAAATTCAAGAGGTGCTCTTACTGGAGTCTAAGTCACTTTGGCAGGAGCTGCCTTAGTGGGTTCCTGCCATTTAAAAGCTGTTTTATGACAACTTATTTGTGGGAGGATCTAGGGCAACTTACCTAACTGCTTGGAGTCTGTTTCCTTATCTGTAACCTGGGGATTTTTTTTAATACCTGGCATGCCTAACTGATGAAGTTGTCTTGAGATTCAAATAAAATAGATATGAACAGCCTTTGTAAAGTGTAAGCTACTAGACAAAGGCTCACTGCTGTTGTGGCTTTAAAGCTCAAACATTAGTCAGGGATCATGATTAATGGCGGGAGGTGGGAACTAGCTGTCTCTGAGCGTCGTGTGCCTGGGACCCTTTTCCTTCCTGCATGGACCACAGACAGAGAGATTGGTGAGAGGTACCAATGACTAGATGTCCCAAGATGTTCAAACTGTGGAGAAAGAAAAGAAAGCAAACATTGATCCCCGATCATGACCACAGATATGGAGAGGTAGGAGCTCGTTGGCAGTTCCAGCTGGCCTTCGTCTTCCGTCGTTGTCATGTACAGTAGGCTGCTAGCTTCTATAAGAATGCAAGAGGAAGTGAGATAACCAAGGCTGCCATTTAGTATTGAGCAGCCATTCCCTGTGGTACTATGCTAAGCACTTTACAGACATTAGCCTCACAAAATTTATTATCATTTCCATTTTGTAGGCTGGTTAAAGGGTTTGCCAGAGGTCAAAAGCCAGTGAGTGGCAGCACAATTTAACCCCAGGTCCATCTGTCCAAAACCTGAGCTGCTTCTACTTTTCCATGCTGCTCCCATTTTCATATTAGAGGTGTCTCACCATTCCAGCCACTCACTGGCCAGAAACTTTTGGTATTTAAGAAAATTAACCTAAAGCCATCCTAAATTAAACTTCAAAGGTGGTTATTCTCTTGACTTTTTCCCATCAAAATTTTATCCTGAGTCAGTTTCTTTTTGTTTTGTTTTTCAGAACCACTTATAGTTCCAGCAAATAAGAGGACTCATTTGGCAATTCTGGGAGCCATCCCATTGTTACTTGTAGCCCTGACAATCATCATCTGTCTAAAAAGAAATGGTATTTCCTTTATTGCAATGGTCCCCACTGGGGATGTGGGGAAATGTGGGGGAGTGCTATTGTTGTCACTATGGCATGTAGTAGGCAGAGCCAGCGATGCTAAATCTCCTGTAATGTGCAGAAGAGTCCCACGTAACAGGAAACTGTCCTACCCAAAATGCTAGCGGTGCCCCCACGAGGAAACACTGATTTGTAAAATGCTGCCTTCCTATTAGCCTTCCCTTCCAGGGCGAACTTTCAATTATGCAAAGTAGGTTTTAGCTATGCCTCGATGTGAAACCGTGCGTCACCTCTTCCTCTAGTTCTGTTCATTTCGCTGTTCTGCAGCATCACCTACGTTGGAGGGCAGCAATAAACACTGTAGTTGCATTTCAAGGGGGTAAGAGTTGCATCATGGCTGCAGGGAAACCTGACTGCCTTTGCAAGATGGCACAAAGACAGCCCACTGTTCAGCAGCAATTATAGTGAAGCAGAGCAGGATTGCTGGGTGAAGATCATGTGTACAGGGATGAGGGGTAGGAGAATGGGTGTGCCTGGAGGATGACGAAGACCGTGCAAATCACCACAGACTTACATGAGAGAAAAAGCTAAAATGCCTCTTGGGTTTCGGATGACTTTGAGTCTTGCATTAGTTGCGCTGTTATATTAAGCTGGTTTCTGGGCACCATAAGTAATAAAAATAGTTTCTTCTGTAGGGCTGTGATACTTTTACAATAGAGTATTTTATGAGATTTCTGGCTGAGAGTGTTATGTAGTTTACTAAATAATTTGCATGTGTTTATCTCTCTATTTACCCATGGGAACAATTAAAATCCAGGAAAATGAGTCTATTCAAATAATTTCCTCCCCTTTTAAGATGATTCAGATTAAACATTTCCCCAGTACTTTGAGAAGTATGCCAAGTGATCCAATGATGATCTGTGTATAGAGTTATCTGATGTCAAATAGGGAAGTGGAAAATGGAAGGGAATTCCAGCAGACGTTGAGAAATTCCCCACAACCCCTTTAGAGGGCGGGTAGATCTGGGAAAGTGGTGTAATTGACGGAGTAGAGGTCAGCTGTTTCTAAAGAATAAGTACTTGACAGAACTGAGACAGTTAGCCAGAATATAAGGATCAAGTTTCAATGATAGGAAGATCCTGAGATGGAGTTGGTTTGTCCAAGGAAGTGACTGTTAGCCAACTTGCATTTTGAATATTTCCTTGTGAAAAATAATTAGTTGGCATTAGGAATGGCTGGAAAACCAATGCATAATAAAGTACCTCAGAATATGGTCCATCTCTGAGGGAAGGATGGAAAATAAAAGTATATACTCCTAAAGAAAATCTAGGAGCAAAAAACATGTGTCCTAAACTGTTGAATTAGCCTCAGAGGTGGGAGCCATGGAATAAGGAAGTCTACCAGATTTCCTAGGGAACTAAAAATGTTTCATAGGAACCTAGAATTTAACCTTGAGTCACTGTGTGGGATATAGAGTTGTGTTATGTTGGAATAAAAATGATTTTTTTTTTTAAGTGAGAATGATGGACGTGGAAAAATGTGGCACCCAAGATACAAACTCAAAGAAACAAAATGGTAAGAATATTAGCAGGGATCGGGGAGTTAAAGAAAAAGGAAACAAAAAGTTAAAATAATAACAAGGAGAAAGCTATCAGCCATAATCTCCCCTCCTTTTAACGAATGCTTGCTGTTGGAACTGCTGGCTACTCTTTGCCTCACAACTCTAAGAACTCTTCCCACAGTCGGAGGAGGTTTAGGGATGGCCCTGGAGAGTAAAGAGTGGTGAGCATGTTTGTGTGAGTGGGGGGAGAAAGCTTCTCTCTGCTAGGTTTCCATTGCTCTGAATCCTAACATCTCCCTGCAACAGGGGACCAAGCTGACTTATGTGGATGGGTGATAGATAGATAGATAGATAGATAGATAGATAGATAGATAGATAGATAGATAGATAGATGATAGATAGGTAGAAGTTCTATGTCAGGCACTGTGTTAACTGCTTCATGTGCAGTACCTCATTTAATACTCCCCCAAATCAAAGAGATAAATACTGGGATTATCCCCACTTTATAGTAGAGAAAACAGAGGGTCAAGAAGATAATGTAAATTGCCCAAGAACATATAGCTGATAAGTGACAAAAATCAGGCTTTGGAGCCCACTGGCTTGACCATAGAACCTTGCTCTTAACCTATCTGCTTAATTCCATTTTGCCACAAATGTCTACATTTATAAAAGGTGAGAAAGACCTCACCCAGCTGATTGAACTAAGAAGAAAGTTGTATTAAGGTTTTTAATTCTTTTTAATGTAATCAGAAACCAAACCTCACAAAGAGCCCAAGTTTCAAGTAGTCTAATTAGCTTGGACGAGCTCAGTCAGGTTTCATTTTGTGATCCATAGCACTCACATGTGTTGTAAAGCTAATTAGTGACTGTTGTTTGGATCATCCTAGAGTGACCAACTGTCCCAATTTGCCCAGGGCTAAGGGGTTTCTCAGGACATGGGACTTTCAGTTTTAAAAGCAGGACAGTCCCAGGCAAACCAGGATGGTTGGTCACCCTTTATCATGTAAAGGTAATTGGGCATAAATATAATCTGCCTCTTTCTCTTATTGCAAATTTATTATATCAGCAAATATAAGTTATGTTTCTCATTATCACTCTCCAGATACACAATTTGAAGAGACGTAATCCAGCATTGAAACTTCTGATCTTAAGGCAGGGATTCTCAGCCCGTGGTCTGAGTTCGTCAGGGCCAAGCATGCCAGAGAAATGCAGTGGGCCAACAGGCTGCAGGTGATGTCGGAGGCCCAAGCACTGAAAATGGAAGCTGGGAAAGAAGAGAAGGAGAACGAGGAAGAATGGAGTAGAAAGGGTAGCCTGAAAGGAAACTTCGGTACTTCAGAATGACTGGAGATTCATCGGTGCAGATGAAAGGGAGAAAGGACACTTCTGAATGATAAGCCTCCATGCCAATTGTCCATTGCTCGTCCTAGGAAAACAAGTTGAGATTCCCTGATTTAATGGTTGGTGCCTGCAGAAGTGCCCTTTGCCTTCACTCAGTGTCTCAACTTGTCTTCTGCGTGATTGAGAGGCCCAGTGTTACAACAGTATTTAAGTATATTTCTATTTATTTTGAGTCTATGGGGTCTTGTCATGTGAGTGTGGTTGTGAATGATTTCTTCTGAAGATATATTTTAGTATAAGTTAAAATTTTGTCACCAAACTAAACTTACTGCTTAATGACTTGTGTGTGTCCAGTAAAATATGTAGTATTTGTAAGGTGCTTGGTATCCTCTATAACTGTTGGTCCATAGGAAGCATAGAGAACAAACCATTGGTTTGTATAGGATGTTACCTTATTTAACCTGTTGGTACTTTGGTTGACTTGAATAATCTTATTCTCAGACCTCAAGGTAAAATATGTTACCACAGTATCCGTTGCATTTAAATATCAGCTTTACAACTATGTGGAATGCTACGCACAAAATCTCATTTAATCCCTGTTAACAACTGTGTTGTGGTAAGCACTATTATTCTAGCCATTTCACAGCTGAGGGAGCAAAGAGAGAAAACAACTTGCCCAAGCCAGTAAATAGCAGACCTCAGATTTCCACGACTGTCACCCACTGTCCTTTTAGAATACAATTTACAGCTGTGTTTTACTTTAAGAAATTCATTCATTCATCAGACATTTAGGAAGTGCCCTTGCCTGTCAATCACTGTATCAGGCAGTGAGTCTACAGATGTGAGCAAGATAAAGGACCTCCCCTCAAGAGCTCGTAGTATCATGGGGAGATTGATAAAATTTATTATTACAATTTAGTGCAGTGTCATAGCATAAGGTGTTGGAGGAGAGTGATGGTGGCAGGAGGAAAGTCTAGAAACGCTGCCAAAAAGGGGGGGACATTCTGGGTGGCCAGTCAGTGTGTTCCTGGACAGCTGAAAATACTTAAACACTTTATAATAAAGCAATTTTAGTTTATGAGGAGAAGTCAGTATTTCTTAAAACTGGAAAATAACTGTTGAATTCTTTTTCTATCATTGTGTTTACCCTTGATTTATTTGCCGTTACCATACCATCTGATGCTTATATATATTATGTCTGGTATTATTTAGCAGTTCTTTCTTTTTTATTTAAATGCAATTGAATTTTGAATTCATACCTTGCCATGATTCAAAATTCAGAAGGTCCAATAGGAGACATTAATAAGTCTCCATTCCATCCTCCTAGTCATCCAGTTTCCCTTTCCAGAAGCAACCACTCTTGCTTTTTGTTTATGTATTCTTCTACAGCTATGTTATGAATGTATGTGGAAATATATGTGAAAGTATATATTTTTTTATTTTTTCCTCTTTTTCACATAAGTGGTAACATATTATGTGCCTGCTGTGCACTTTGCTTTTTTTATTTAATGTATTATTTCTTATGTACCAGTCAGAACAAATTTGAAGTTCCCAGAGGTCCAAGATGTTTTGTTTGTTTCTAGATCATCTTTTCCATAGCCTCTTCATATCTTTTATAAGACTTCATACATGCTAAAAAGTTACTGCATCTACATTTAGACAACCAGCATTTGTTGAGTACTTGCTCTATAACTGAGTTTGGAGTTGATTTATTTTGTGTTTCTCAAAGTGAGACCCATGGGTCCTCCAGGGTACAACCTTATTACTAACTCCATGATAGAATCATGTCTGGAACTTGTTTTTTTTAAATCTGTTTTCTCTTGAGTATAAACTTGACTTTGATGTTGCACTTACAAAATTATGTGTTCTTTGTGGAAATTCGAGAAGAGTACCTTGACCCTAGACCCTCATCTATGCCAGAAAAGGCGCATGAGCTGGCAGGTCTCATCACTACACATGCCTCCTAAGATGTTGCTTTCCAAAGGCTTTGAGATTTAGATGCCATCTCAGGAGGTCCCAGAGTATTCTCTCTCTTGGCCGTTCACCTGGATCAATGACAATGAAAACCTTTGCTTTACCACGTCAAGACTGAAGAAACAGAACCTCCAACAGAACTCCTTTTGTTATCTTTTTGTACATGTTCATTTGTGCAATAGCCCTTGTTTGTGTGACAATATCCTTTGTTTGTGGTGAAGTACAAGTGAGGATTCTGGCTGAGCAAGACATACAGTCTATTCACCGCATTCCTAAATCTTAATACCTTCTCATGGCATTGGATTTGTAAGGCACTTTATCCCGTTGTCTTGTGTTTCATTGTAAATGACATAGGCAGAGATGATATCGAATCCTGCATTTTATTGTCACTGTTTACGCCTGCATTAATTTAATAAAACATTCTTATTTATTTTGTTAGTGCACCAGCATGTCCATTTTCTTCTTTTCTACATGTTTTATAAAACCATTCCCAGTTTAACATCCCACTGGAGACATTTACTTGGAATATCTGCAGCCACCCTCCTAGTTCTTTTTTACATAGCTTCTTTGTTTATACAGCATACTCTTGAATCCTCTGTGATGAAAAATATCAAAAGAATTATTTTTTTAAAAGAATGGATTGAAAATTTTCATTCCCTCTCCTTCGATAGCTTCTTTTAGGACAACACCAAGGAAGGAGTGAAAATTGTGTCAGCCAAATTGGAGATCTGAGGGAGGAGAGTGGGAGAGAAGGAGTGGTCCTCCGGAGAACTATAGGGAAACGAAGGGGCTTTCC